ATAGATAGATAGATAGATAGATAGATAGATAGATAGATAGATAGATAGGTAGATAGATAGGTAGAAAGACAGACAGATTTAAAGACTCAATTTTTTTTTTAAATGAGCTTTGGGGTGTTTTGTCTTTATTAGGGTCTCACTGTGCAGCATGGCCTCAGAGCTGCTGCCACAGTCAGTCCTGTCTCCGCCTCCCCAGCACTAGGATGACAGGCATGTGCTACCATGGAGAGCTAAAAAAGACATTTTCTTAGCTTTGGAGACTGAAAGTCCAGGAACAGGTGGCCCCATCTGTTCATCCTTTGATTAAGTCACAGTGTGGCCAAGCAGAAGGGGAGAAACTGGAGGGCTTCTCTGCCCCTCCAGGAGGGGCACATCCCTGGTAGCATGTGCTGACCCCTACTCTGAAGGGTAGGAAAACAAACAAGAAACTGCTGTGTTAAAAAAAAAAAAAAGTCCAGGTGCGTGTGACAGACTTTCTGAACAAAGATCTACAGAGGCCTGGTGTGGCTCAGTGAGACGCCTGCTCGTCTAGACCTAGCTTTCACCCAGGGCCCACTCTCTCCTAAAAGAACCGAGGGTCAGTCTCTAAGATTTTATTAATGGGTGGGTATGTGTGTGCACAAATGAGTGCAGTGCCTCTAGAGGCCAGAAGAGGGCATCAGATCAGCTGAAGCTGGAGCTATAGGTGGCGGAGAGGGTCCTGACAGTCTCTGGTCCCCTGCAAGAACTCAAACTCTCTTATCTGTTGAGCTTCGCTCTCCAGCCCCAAACAACCCACTCCTGAGAGAAGTGGCCAGGCTCCCTGGAGAGCACCGATACCTTCCAAGGGAAACACTCCCTGCCAGTGACCTAATTACTTCCCGCTAGGCCCCATTTCTTAAAGGTTCTAGGACTGTTAAGCCTGGCCACACTAGGACCAGACTACAGCTTACCACGTCTGTTTGTGGGCCAGGCACTGGACTCGGGTCCTCAGTCGTCTGAGGCAAGTTACCCACCGCGGCGGTGTAGCCCCTGCCCATACGCTGAGTTTTGGTTAGCTTTTAAGACAGGGTCTGGTGTGTGGTGGCATACTCATAATCCCAGCACCTGGGTGGCAGAGGCAGGAAAATCAGGAGTTTAAAGCTACCTTGGCTGCACAGCAAGTTTTGAGACCAGCCTGGGTTACATGAAACCATGTAAAAAAAACAAAACAAAACAAAATAAAAAAACACCTAAGGTTTCACTGTTTAGTCCAGGACTCCTGGACTATCTTACAGGCATGTAAGATACTTATAAAGTGTTTATATTAGCCATGTAAAGCATTTGCTTTTTTTAATTAAAAATGCATCACATTTTAATTTGCTTTGTGTACCTGTGCCGTGCACTCCTATCAGGGTCCACTCATGATGGTCACAGGGCAACTTTCCATAGTCAGTCCTCTACTTCCACCCCTTACTGGACTCTGGAGACTCGGGTCTTCAGGCTTGCATGACAGCATCTTTACCTACTGAGCTGTCTCTCCAGCCCCATGAATAATTAAACAGAAGAGGACGGATACAGCCAGGCATGGTGGCACGCCTATAATCCTAGAACTCGGGAAGCAGGGGCAGGTGGATCTCTGTGAGTTCAAGCCCAGCCTGGTCTACAGAGCCAGGAGACCTCCAAATCAGAGACCAACAAAGAAAGAAAGCCCCCTGGAAACCGTTATCCCCTCCTTGGACTAAGTTCGGATGAGGCATGTCTAACCCAGCCCCGAACCCGCCTTTCCTGCTAGCCCACTGGTGGGGACTGGGCGGTGAGCGGGTGCAACCTGTTCTCTCCAGCAGATACTGGGGGCCATGGAGTCTCAGGTTGGGGGGGGGCCGGCCGGCCCGGCCCTGCCCAACGGGCCACTCCTTGGGACAAACGGAGCCACTGATGACAGCAAGACCAACCTCATCGTCAACTACCTACCCCAGAACATGACACAGGACGAGTTCAAGAGTCTCTTCGGCAGCATTGGGGACATCGAGTCCTGCAAGTTGGTTCGGGATAAGATTACAGGTGTGGCTCTGTGTGTGTATGTGTGGCCCCCTGGGGGGGGCAAGCGGGGAGGAAGTGTGACCTTGGCGGGGTACCTCAGAGTGAACGAAGCCAAGTAGCTCTCTGGGAGCACACTCTGGTGGGGAGGGGGAATGAGAGCGGGGAGCTGTCCAGTGGCAGGGTTTGTTGGGGACACTGGGCAGATGAGGAAGTCATTCTTCTGCTCCTCCCACAGGGCAGAGCCTGGGCTATGGGTTTGTGAACTATTCTGACCCCAATGACGCAGACAAAGCCATCAACACCCTCAACGGCCTCAAACTGCAGACAAAGACCATCAAGGTGAGTGTTGCCACATCCGCCCCATCTGCTGTCCCTGTGCCCCCCCGCCCCTCGCCATCACCCCCTCTGCTCCGGAAGCTTCCCTTCTCTCTCCTCCCTGTTGTCTCCTGGCTTTAGTTCTCTGAAATGTTGTTTTATTTCTTGTTTCCTCATCTATCAGCGTGAGAGGTCGTTGTGTATTTTATTATCCTGTGTGCGCGTGTGCATGGGCACACATGTGCCGCTGTGTGTGTGCAGATTAGAGCAAACTTGCTGGAATCCGTTTTCCTCCTTTCACATGTGGGTGCCAGGGTTCACAGTCAGATGGTGTGCCTTGGCACCGAGTGCCTTTCCCCGCTGGGCCTTCCTTCCCCTCTTGCTGGAGAATATACTATCAACAGTAAGTCACAAGTTCCTTGGAAGACTCAGGGAATCTGGCAGGCCTGGGAGGTTGGACAGAGTGCCCAGGAACCCATGGGCAGACCCCTCCATGTCTTTGTCCTAGAACAGAGGGGGTGGGGCCCATCTGCCATCTGGAATCTAATTAGGAACTGGGGAGGGGGTGGGATGGGACAGCCCCTCCCCCACCTTTGCGCATCACCCCTCCCCCGTGGCCTCCCTTCTCAACAGCTGCAGCTGGGACCATGTGAGCCCAAGTTCCCTTGGGAGGAATCACCATGGAAACCCCCCTCTCTAACTTGGCCTGGGGGTGTTTGGGCTCCTCCCTTCAAATCTGCTCTAGGACCCCTGGGGAGGCCAGGCTGAGGGTGCCCATCTGGCCCCCAATTTATCATGGGAACAGAAGCATAGGAATCTTTTTCTCTCCCCAGTGTGTGTGTTTGTGTGTGTGTATATGGGGGCGAGGGGGTACCGTGGATGAGCCTTTCTGTGGTCAGCCTGATCCCCAAGCCCCAGGGGTATGAGGGTGGGCCCTAGTGACTGTAAGTGAATCTTCTGGTTTGTGTAAGTCAGTGATCATGAAGTGGTTGCGGGACGCAGCGTCTGTGCAGATGACTGTTGTCAGATGGGTCTGGACAATTAAGGTTTAAGATAGAGGGCTGGGCATCCGGCTCAGTGGTGCAGTGCCTGCCTGGCCTGTGGAGGCTCTGACTTCCATCTCCAGCATGGAAATAAATGAATGATTGGAGTGGGGTCTGGGGAGATGGTCCAGTTGTCTGCATTTCTTTGAAGACCTGTGTATGATTCCCAGCACCCAAAGCCAGGTGTGTAAAGCCAAGCATAGCAGCACATAACTTTAATCCCAGGACTTAGGAGGCAGAGGCAGGCAGATCTTTGTGGACTGGGGCCAGCCTGGTCTACATAACAAGTTCTGGGTCACCCAGAGCCGTGTACTGAGACCCTGTGGGGGAAGGGGCAGATTCGATGGCCTTTGCCTGTGACCCCAGTGTTGACGGTGAAGCAGGTAGACCCCTGGCACTCTGTCTCATATTGGACAGCCACTAATGACTGAAGGGTGAACCCTGGCCCTCCCAGGCACACATTCTCATGCACAAGCTTTGAGGACTGGGCTCAGTTTCTGCAAGTAGCATTTACCCAGCATGCCCAGTATGCCAAAACCCTGGCTTGGCTATCCAGCACCTCATATATACCCTGGACTTGGGGGCACAAGCCTGGGATCCCAGCATTCTGCATGTGGCAGCAAGAGGATCAGAAGTTCGAGATCACCCTTGGTTTCATAGCAAGTTCGAGGCCAGCCTGGGCTACATGAGACCCTGTCTCAAAAAACAAACAGCAACAACAGCCAAAATGACTGTGAGTGTGCAGGACCTGGTGTTACTGTGACACTAGAATTCACGTTGTGTTGCGGCTGCCAGGATGCACCAGGGCATATGTTTGTTGCAACAAGATATTTGTGTAGCTTGGCGTGGTTGCATGTGTGACCTGTGCTGGGTTTGGGGGCCCAGTGTGCTGTGGAGTTAGTGCACAGTATTTTCTTACTGTAGCCCTGGAGGACCCAGTATTGAACATGACGGTGACTTTGCGACACCCTCTAGCTAGTCTTGTCACCAAAGCTGTCCAGTGGATGGGCTTGTGTCCAGCAACCACGTTGATGAGGTCTGATTTTGCCCTGGCCGATTTGGGCCAGAATGCTTCCAGCTATTGGATGCCCCAGGTTCCCTCCTGGAGTGGGGTACATGAAGAGTGTAGCCTGAACCTGCCCTTAGACACCATGCCCCAGAAGAACAGAGAAGGCCAAGGAATGGCTCAACTGTTATGCGATGAAACTTTCCCTGGGGAAAAAAAACACACGCGTCTGCTCAACCCCCACAGACATCCCAGGACAGTCCAAAGTGCGGGCAACACCAGGGCCCCAGCGTGTGAACCCGGAGTTCCGTTGGGGTTCCTTACAGGAATGTGGGTGAGGGGTTCCTTACAGGAGCAGAAGTGACTCAAAGACAGCTGCGTCACCAAAGCCCGCCCCCGCATGGGCGACAGCCCACAGAGCTGGGAACCCAAGCACGCTGCACAGCCTGAAGGCAGCTCAACCAACTGGAGAGTGTCGTTTCCAGGTCCCTCAGTTGGTCTAAACCTCTTCCGAGCAGCTCGCCTGATCTCTGCTTCTTCCAGGCATCTGGCCTGGCTTCAGGGTTGTCTTTGTAGCTTGGCTGGTCTAGGAGTCTTCTTTGCTGCTCAGTTCTGCTAGTCTGAGACGAACTCTCAGCTTTTACTGCTTTCCCTGGAAGAAAGAGGCCAAGTGAATCCGGTTAGTTTCAGGGACTTCCTGAAGCTATTTTGAGTTATTTACCTTCCCGCTTTAGGAGCTTGTCTACAGGATTGAATGTTTCAATTATGGAGGAAACTATTTCACAGTACGTCACTGTAAGACCTGGGGTCTCACAGCTCAGGAGTTCAAGATCGCGCCCTTCCCAGAAACTCCCCCAGACCAAGATTCATTGAAAAAGCAAGAGGTTTATTAACCATTGAGCAATGGGGTCACCCCTGCCGGTCAGCAAAGAGTGGTACGGGGAGACAAAGGTCTTTAGGTTTTTAAAAGAAAAATTGTGGGAGATTTGAAGTTGCAGTCTTGGCAATTTAGGATTGGATGAGGAAGCTATAAAGTAAGATAATTTGGTTAGTCTTAGGTGCTCAAGCTTGGCCAGTCAGTCCTGCCAAGTGTGGATGCAGCTGCAATTTAAGGTGGGGGTGGTTAGTTCATCCTTGAAACGTAGGAGCTGCAGACTTTTGGCTGGAGGTCAAAAGCTACTCAGAAAAAGTCTGGGTTTGTTGCTAAGAAACACTATCTCAGAGACAAGGGTCTGGTCCTTCTTTTTGCTGAGTGAAGGTTATTGCTTGCTTGCTTTTTATATCTGTCCTCACAGATAGGGTCACATTCCTCCATTCTCTGGAAAGGTACTAAGAGGCTTTAGCTTAACCTGGACCTAAAACTCAAAACTATAGGCTTTAGAAGATATATAGGTTACAAAGTTAGCCTAACCCTTTCAGTCACCCTCCCTCCTGCTCCTACGTTCTGTTTGTTTTGTTTTGTTTTCTTTCCAGACAGGGTTTCTCTTTGTAGCCCTGGCTGTCCTGGAACTCTCTGTGTAGACCAGGCTAACCTTGGGCCCAGAGATCTACCTGCCTCTCCTCCTGAGTGCTGGGACCAAAGGCGTGTGCCACCACCAACCGTCTTCCGTACGTTCTTTCCACCCCCTCTTCGGCAGTGATCCCTGAGCCTTGGGGTGGGGGTGGGGGTGACTGAAGATATCCACCTGTGGCCACCATGCCAGAGTAACAGTCACTCGTTCTTGGGAACTTCACCAGACATTCTGAGTTGAGGCTGAAGACAAGAGATCAATGGACGTGCTTAGAAGGCAGTTTGACAGGCACATTCACATTTGTCTAGAGCATTGGTCCTCAACCTTCCTAACGCTGTGTCTCTTTAATAATTTCCTCATGTCATGGTGACCCCCAATCATAAAATTATTTTCTTGCTACCTCATAACTAATTTTGCTGCTGTTATGAATGATAATGTAAACATCTGATATGCGACCCCCAAGGGGGTCACGACCCACAGGTTGAGAACCACCGATCTAGGAAAACCATAAAAGTTGTTTTCCCATCGGGACCTGCGACCTCCTCAGCCACAGGTTTTTGTCCTGGCTTACAGTGTCTATCAGACGGGCCTTAAACCCAATGGGAAGGCTGCTGGTCTACACAGGACAGCTGAGTCACCATTGCACACGCAGGCACAAAGGAGGTGCTGCCAGCATTTTGGCACACCGGGTCCGTGGCCAAGCAGGAATGGTTGTGGCAGTTCTCCACCAGCAGCCCACATGTGGCTCCTTCTGGCACTGTGGAAGCCAGCTAGCAGGGTGGGACTTCCCAGTTCAGAACCAGCTTAAGTTCTCCGTGTCTTGTAAGCAAAGCAAAGCGTGCAGATCTGTGTCTTCAGCAAGAGGAGGTCACCAGCAGCAGTAGCAATAGCTCTGGCTGTTCGTGGGGCCTCTGGGGCTTGTCTGGCCAACGACTCACAGGAAGGTAGCCCAACCCCGCACCTGGATTTTCATTCAATAAACTTATGGCCTCTGGGAGTATCCTTTTTCACCCATGTATCTTTTAGATTTTTTTTTTCTTTTCTCTTCATTTCAATTAACCTAGCTCCCGCAGAGTTCTAAAGTTAAGTGGAAGTACCATTGCACCTGGTGGTCTCTGATTGTTTTGGTTTCTTTGTGTAGCCCTGGCTGTCCTGGAACTCACGCTGCAGACCAGGCTGGCCTTGAACTTAGAGAGATCCCCCTGCCTCTGCCTCCCAAGTGCTGAGATTAAAAGGCCTGCACCATCTGGCTATGATGGTTTTCCAAATCTGCAAAACATTCAGAGGTTAACTTTTTGTTGTCTGTATGACAAAACCTTTTCCAGAGAATGGGCAGGAGGACAAGCTGATACCCCGAGCCACCATTCCATAACAAACGATGGGTTACCAAGACAGCCTTGGGGAAGCACTCTGAAAGTTGCCTCCTGTCCTCAGCAGGTGTCAGGTGATCCCGGAGGCTCACAA